CCCAGCCAATCAGAAGCCCTGCTGGGCAAAAGCCCCCTCTGGCCCTGCCCACTCTCCTAAAACACTTGGTGGGCGCCACATTGGGGACCCCTGCCCTACAGCGCAGCCAAGCACCGCCGAAATCTCTAGTCCCAGCTCGGTGCTGGTCTCTAGGAAACCTCCACTGTGAACTCTCCCGGCAAGATAAAAGGCCAGTCCTAGGGTTGCCACCTCTGTGTTGGGAAATTCCTGGACATGTTGAGGAGGAGGAGCCAGGGGAGGGTGGGGTTTGGGGAGGAGAGGGGCCTCAGCAGGGTGTATTGCCATAGCGCCCGTCCTCCCTCCAGAGCAGCCATTTTCTCCAGGTGAACCGATCTCTACTACTTTACACAGAGAGTGATTAACATGTGGAATTCGCTACCGGGGGACGAAGTGATGGCCACAGGAAGAAACAGCTTTCAAAGGATATTAGATTAACCGAGCGGAAGTCTATCAATTGCTACTAGCCATGGTGACTGAGGGGAACCTCCACATTCAGTGGCGTTAAACCTCTGAATCCCAAAGCCAGGAGGCAACATCAGGGGAAGGCCTCGGCCTCTACGCCCTCTTGCTGGCCCTGCAGAGGAAATGGTTGGCCACTGTGTGAGACAGGATGCTGGACTAGATGGACCACTGGTCTGATCCAGCAGGGCTCTTCCTGTGTTCCTAAGAAGGCCTCGGCCTCTCTGCCCTCTTGTTGGCCCTCCAGAGGAACTGGCTGGCCACTGTGTGAGACAGGATGCTGGACTAGATGGACCACTGGTCTGATCCAGCAGGGCTCTTCCTGTGTTCCTAGGAAGGCCTCAACCTTTCTGCCCTCTTGCTGGTCCTCCAAAGGAACTGGTTGGCCCCTGTGTGAGACAGGATGTTGGACCAGATGGACTATTGGTCTGATCTGGTAGGGCTCTTCTGATGTTCTTATGAGATCAGTTGAAATTCTTGGAGATGTTCAGGCCCCACCTGGAGGTTGGCAACCCTAGCCAGTCCGCCCCATTCAAAACACACAAAAAAGATGTCAACGTTCCATAGGATGCCATTGGCCCTGTTTAGTCCTGCACACCCACAATCACTTCTGATATCAACCAGGCGTACTGTTTTAATCAGATATTTTATTACACTAGCTCAAGAGACACGGTAAACAAGCATACTCTGGAGTTCTGTGAGCAACACGGTGGAGAGAAAGCCCTTTACCCGTACATTTCCCTGACATCCACAGAGACGGATGGCAGAAACCAAATCACAAGGGAAAAGAGTAGGCAGTTCGGGAACAAGGGCTGAAAACAGTGGGAAGAAACTCAGTCCAGAGTTCAGAGGGCTAAACTACACTGATGTTACGAGTCCTGAGCATGCTCAGCTCTGGATCCGGCTGCGCTGAATCAGCCCTAGGGGTTCTTCAAGCATTGGGTCTCCAAACTGTCCCATTTCCAGCAGGAGATTCTAATCAGTGGAATGTTTCTCCAGGGGAATGAGGCGTTTCTGGAGAAGGAAGTCGGTCCAAAGAGGAGATCCTTGCGTGGGACTTGGCCACGATTAGGTGCACAATTTTTCAACCTCCACCAAGACTCTTCACCTTGTGGCTCACTACCTTGGGACAACTGGGTTGTTCCTAACAAAACTGACTGTGGTTGTTTGTGGCTTCCTTTTTCTCCCCCTCTGATGGACCAGTGCAGCCATCTACAAGAAAATTAGTCACTCAAGAATGGGATTCGACAACTGGAAGTTCAGTGGCTACAAGCCATGGTGACTAAAGGGAGCCTCCACATTCAGAGGAAGCTGACCTCTGAATCCCAGTGTCAGAAGGCAACATCAGGGCAAGGCCTCAGCATCTATGCCCTATTGTTGGCTGTCCAGAGGAACTGGTTGGCCACTGTGTGAGACAGGATGCTGGAGTAGATGGACCACTGGTCTGACCCAGCAGGGCTCTTCTCATGTTCTGAGGAAGGCTTTGGCCTCTCTGCCCTGTTGTTGGCCCTCCAGAGGAACTGGTTGGCCATTGTGTGAGATGGGATGGTGGACTAGATGGACCACTGGTCTGATCCAGCAGGGCTTTTCTTCTGTTCTTAGGAAGGCCTCGGCCTCCATGCCCTGTTGTTGGCCCTCCAGGGGAACTGGTTGGCCCCTGTGTGAGACAGGATGCTGGACTAGATGGACCACTGGTCTGATTCAGCAGGGCTCTTCTGGTGTCCTTAGGAAGGCCTTGGCCTCCAAGCCCTGTTGTTGGCCATCCAGAGGAACTGCCAGCCTCCAGGTCCCCCCCCCCAATAGCTAGCAATCCAAAACAGTCCAGTGGAGCCTGAGCGGTGGGTGTTGCCTTCTGACACGCTCCCGGTGATGTCAGGGGGCGTGGCATATGCAAATGAGTTATGCTAATGAGTTGTGCTAATGAGCTCCTGCACCTCTTTTTCTACGAAATGACCCCTGACCAGAAGTGACGCTGTGCATCACCTTGAAGTAACGTAGGCAGTTGGGGGCAACACACTGGTTTTGGGGCAGAACTCTATGGTAAAATGGCCCTCAAACCGTACAGTTTTACCCCAAAACCAGAGCATCACCCCCCTTGACATCACCAATGTGCCTACATTACTGCCGGGCGATGTCGGCACAGAGCCTGGCGTTGCCCTTAGGGGTGGGATTTCCTCGCCGCCTGTGGTCAGGAGCCCACAAAAGCAGGGGATCTCCCGCTCCAGACTGGGGAATGGTAACCCTAATCAGAGGAGTCCTGCTGGATCAGACCAGCGGTCCATCTAGTTCAGCCTCCTGGTCTCATACACTGGCCAACCAGTTCCGCCAACAAAGAACACAGGGCCAAGGCCTTGAACACACATGAACCCACGAAGCTGCCTTCTACTGAATCAGACCTTTGGTCTACCAAGGTCACTGTTGTCTACTCAGACTGGCAGTGGCTCTCCAGGGTCTCAGACGGAGGTCTTTCCCATCGCCTCCTGCCAGATCCTTGTACCTGGAGATGCCGGGGATTGAACCCGGGACCTTCGGCATGCCAAGCAAACGCTCTACCCCTGAGCCACACAGCCCCTCCCCTTGATGTTACCTCCTAGCACTGGCATTCGAAGGTTGACTGTTCCTGGATGTAGAAATTCCCTTTAGTCACCATGGCAAGTGGTGATCATTAGTTCTCTACCCCATTTAATCTTCCTGTGAAAGCCATTCATGCTGGTGGCCATCACTCCATCCACCGGCAGCAAATTCCACCATTGAATTACTCGTCGAATAAATATTTCCTTTCCCTGTCCTGAATCTATTGACCATCAGTTTCATTGGGTGAACCCAAGTGTTTGGGAGAGGGACAAAAGAAGTTAACTTTCTCCACCTAGGGCTGTCAACTCCGGCGTGGGAAATTCCTGGAGGTTTGGGGGCAGAATCAACGGAGGGGGGGAATTTCCACCGAAAACCTGTGGTCTGTCCATACAGTCTGCCATTTTCTCCGGGGGAGCCCGTGTGGTGTAGCGGTTCA